TGCAAATCAAAACTACACTTAGATATCACCTTACACCCATTAGAATGGCTATAATCACCAAGACAAAAAATAAACATTGGAGAGCATGTGGAGAAAAGGTAACCCTCCTACACTGCTGGTGGGAATGCAAACTGATACAGCCACTATGGAAAACAGCATGGAGCTTTCTCAAAAATCTAAAAGTAGAAATACCATATGACCCAGCTATCCCACTACCATGTATTTATCCAAAGAACTTGAAATCAACAATTCAAAGAGACTTATGTACCCCTATGTTCATTGCAGCATTATTCACAATAGCAAAGATGAGGAAGCAACCCAAGTGCCCACTGGATTGATGAATGGACAAAGAGGATATATATATATATATACACACACACACACACACACACACACACAATGGAATACTATTCAGTGATAAAAAATAAAGACAAAATCACCTCATTTGCAACAATATGGATGGACTTTGAGGGTATTATGTTACGTGAAATAAGCCAGACAAAGACAAACACCATATGATTTCACTCGTATGCAGAAGATAAACACACGGAAAAAGGATAACAGATTAGTGGTTACCAGAGGTGAAGGGGCTGGGGAGGAGGGCAAAAGTGGTGTAGGGGAGGAAGACATTTCCTCTACCAGCTCTGGGTCCTTCTGGCTGGAAAATAAATTAAATTCACATGAGACAGAATCACAGGAGAAAATTAAACAAAGCTTTATAACATGTATACATGGGAGAAGCTCAGGCAAACTGAGCAACTCACCAAAATGGCTGAAGTTCTCACCTTAAACACCATCCTCAGGTAAATAAAAAGGAGGATGTTGGAGGTAGGGGGAGTCAGTTATGGGAGATTACCAGACAAGTATAGTAAACAAGAGTCAGGTTATTATGCAGATTTGACTCCTTGCTTTCCACATTGATGAGAGTTTCTAGAGACAAGGTTATCTTCCTTCTCCCTGGTATGGAGAGGGAGACACCTTTATTGATGGAGATTTCCTTTACAATGTAAATATCTCTTAACAAAGAGTAAGTAAATTCTACTTTTCAGAGTTTCTTTCCTGACTGCAGTTTTTTAAAAGTAACCAGCCCAAAATAATCCTCATGCCAAAGAGGCATATCTTGGGGTGTCCAATTCCAGTCCCCTACAGGGGTAAAGTTGTATGTGTATGATGACTTATGAAAACTAGACTATTAATGGTTAACACAATGCTATCTATAAAGAAATTGATATATAATAATGTGTACCTGAAATTATTCAATGTTATAAGCCTATATGACCTGAATCTAAATCAATCAATCAATCAAAAAGAATAAAGTACTAATACATGGTATAACATCATGAACCTTGAAAGTATTATGCTTAGAGAAAGAAGCCAGGCACATAATACCACACATTTTATGATTCTATTTATATGAAATGTCCAGAATAGGTAAATCCATAGAGACAGAAAATAGCTTAGTGGTTTCCAAGGGCTGAGGGGAGGGAGGATTGGGAGTGACTGCTAATGAGTACCTGCTTTCTTTATGGAGTTTGAAAATGTTCTGGAATTAGAAAGTGCTGATGGATGCACAATTTTGTGAATATACTTAAAAATACTGAATGGTACACTCTCAAAACATGGATTTTATGGTATATGGATTAATTTTCAGTGAAAAAGCTTAGAAATAATCAAAGTATCCAAAAACATTCATCCATAGGGAATTAGTTAAATAAAATAGAGAAAATTGGCTAAACAAAATAGAGAACTTGTCAAATACCATAATTCGTAAGCCCATACATGGGATTTTGTGCAGCCATTAAAAAGACATTAAAATGAGAAGAAACAATATGTTATATGGAAAAATCACAAAGCTATATGGTTAAGTTAAAAAAAACAAACTGTACAAAAACTATGTATATATGATCATCCTTGTGAAATAAAAAACAACACATATGCAGGTAGATGCATCTCTCACACACGTATCTGTTTATGTGCATTCATATACAAATTTACATTCTGCCCCTCTTCTAAGTAATTATTGAAAAGTGATTGTAATGGTCAACTTTGGCGATTTTTACTTTTCATCTGGTATCTCTCTGAAGTATTCATTTTTTCTAACCTTATACCTTTTATCTCTTTTACTTATTTAATCTTTTGAATGTTTATAGAGTTTATTTAGGCAGAGTGATAATAGATCTATTTGCTTTCTTCTTTGTATTTTATAGAATGCTAAAAAGTATTTCTAGTGAAATATTACATTAAAAACCTAAAATAAAACAACAAAAAAGCATATACGTAGTCTCCTTTCAAGTCATTCTTATTTTTCATTTTATGAGAATGTTACAGGAACTCCATGGTCCTTGTCCTTAGATTTTTACTTAAAAACAATTAACAAAAAATCCTCTATATTGTAAATGTAAGATAAAAATTCTTGATCTTGAGATGAAACCTAATTTCTAAGAGAAATCACTATATATCAACCAACTTCTCAATTTAAAAAAAAACCCAAATGAAAACAGATTACTATCATCCAGAGGTTGGTTCAGTTTTGTTCTTTGTCATAATCCTTTGAGCACTTTAAATTATGAAAGAAATTTGGATCTATAGCACTTCTCAAATCTGGTTTGATAGCCCTTTCCTTCAACCTAACAGTGCCCTCTTCTGGTTCCAAGATTCACATTCAGCTAGTTCATTAATGTTGAAAAAGAAAAGCTTAACTTGGAAAAGATTATGGGGAAAAATTATGGGGAAACCTAGAAGTAAAAGGCTTTAATTTTCCATTCTAGCATAGCAAAAATAAACAAACAAAAGTCCAGTTGTGAGTATAATGGTGGTTGCCAAGGGTTAGAGTGAGGAGAAAATGAGAAGTTGTTGTTTAACAGATATGGAAAAGTTCTGGAGATTGGTTGTACAACAAAATGACTATACTTAACACTGCTGAACTGTACACTTAAAAACTGTTAAGATAGTAAATTTTGTGTCATGTGTATTTTCCCACAATTAAAAATAAACATAAATAAAATCCAGTTGAAGTATAAATAGTCCAGATTGATGGCAGAAGCTCTAAGTTAGTACCGTTTCACCTCAAGTCAAATGCTTACCATAAATCAAACCCACCTGGATTTGATATAGTAATTTTTAATTCCCATTATTGTACTAAAATAGGCACATCTTTTTCTTAATTTACTAAAACTATAGCTATAAAACAACTTAATTTCAACTTTTACTTTTAAAGTCTTCAGTCTTGCAGATTTAGAGACCCATGTAAAAAAGATGGTGAAAATGTTACTTCATTTACTTAGGAAAATAATAAAGCATTCTGCAACACCGAAAAAAAAAAGACTCCAAGGTTTGACTTGTACAACTGGATAGAAGGCATGACATTCACTGAGAAGAAGACTAGGCAAAGACCGAGTTTGAAGGATTATGGATAGATCAATGGTTCTCAGTGGGGATGATTTTGCCCCCCAGGGGACATCTGGCAGTGTCTGGAGGCATTTTTGGTAATCACAACTGGAAGCAGTGGGGGCAGTGCTACTGACCTGGGTTGGGATACTGATAAACATTCTACAATGCACAGGACAGGCCTCCACCTCATAGAGTCGTCTGGCCTCAAATTTCAATAGTGCCAAGAGTGAGGAACCCTGGGTTAAGTGTTCTTTCCTCTGACTTTGGCCACTCTTTCTCAGCCTTTGCAGCAAGCTTCTCTTTTTCTACCTGTCTCTAATTACTCAATTTTCTGTCTTTAGCCCACTTCTCTTTTTTTCTACATCTTTTCTTGGGGACATCATTCACGCCAATGACTTCAACTACCACATCTATGTTGCTGACTTCCACAGCTGTATGTCTAGTCCCAATTGCTCTTCTGGCTCTAGAACATTGTTTCTATTGATTTCCCTTGACATCTTTTCATTAATCTACCGCTACCTTTCCTGTCTATTCATAGCAAACTTTTACTGAGTATCTAGTTTGTGCAAAATGCTGCGCTGGCACTTGGAGGAAGGTAGTGATGGTGTAGTTGACAGACAATCATGGTTAATAAGCGTTTTAAATGCATTCTCCCTGATTGTGGTGATAGTTTTGCAAGGAAGAAATTATTTCCTGGAAACTAAAGCTCCAAGTGTTTAATCAATTACTTAAATATCACAGCTTGTAAATAGCAGAGTTTTTAAAAAGTCAGTTCTATTTTGACAGTAAGGATTGAACTCTCTCCATTAAAAAACACTGAGGAAAAGTGTGGTCTAGTTTGTTCATAGCCAGAGGGGGATGGATGTGAATGATGAAGGTCTAAGAAGTTTCATATTCTTTTCTTCTAAGCCACGTTGCACTCTCTTCGGGTTATTTACCATAGATCATAGAGTATAATACACCAGCGGTGGTAAGATGGATCATTATTTTCCATATCTCTAGGAAAGAAAAAAAGCCGCCAATTAAAGTATGACACATCGTCAGTTGTCAGATATTTCCTAGATGTTGAAACTTGAAAAAAAAAAGTAAGCCTTCAGAGATCTGTAATTTGTTAAAATATGAAGAAAAACGTGATCTTTGATTTTGTGACATACAGTGAAATTATTTTCCACATTCAATTTCCAGAGTCAGTGCTAGTGTGCTATTCAGCACTTTAGTCAACTAACATGTTTGTATACGCTTTTCAAATGGTCGTTAAGTAGTTTCATGGCTCTGTATTGTGCATCTGCAACTGGATCTTAAAGCTCTTAGCTCTTCAATAATTTGTTCTCCCGACTCCCCCTCACACACCCCGCGTCTTCCTGCAATCTATGCAGTTTAACACTTAGGAGTAAACCTGAATTTGTTCTCATCTTAAAGTTGTATACATTGTCTAAGACTGTCCATAGATTTAGTTACACTTGGGGGAGGGAAAATGGAAAAACATTATACTAAATATACTCTTCGTTTTTTTAAGACCCATCCTTCTAGAAACGTTAAAATGGTGTAGGGTAGGGAGCGGGGGCGGAGGCAGAGAAGGGATATACGTCTCAGGATACAGGAAATACGGTAAGAGCGAAACTGGGAGGAAGCACTATGCTGTGAGGGGACCCGCCGCCATCTCAGGTCTCTCGGACTCGCCAGGGCCCCCTGGAGAGACGTCACGCTCGGGTTCTATAATCCTTATGGGGGACCAACCTTGTGTATCCGGGAGATCCACGCTCCCAACTGGAGACACACGGGAAATCAAGCCTCCAAAAAAGCGCTGCCTCCTAGCTCCACGATGGGATTATCCAGAAGGAACCCCCAACGGAGGTATTACCCCTCTCCCCTCCGCACCTCCTCCTGCATCACCAAGCCTGAAGTTGCACCCTCTTCCTCCAGAGAAGTAGTAGAATGTACTGCTCCCACCCCAAACCAGGTCAGATTCTTTCTTTCTCCTCTGAGACATCCAGGCTGTCTGAAACTTAATTATGCATTTTCTCAGATCTCCTCCTTTTCCCTGTTCTCGCCAGGATTTCAAAATTGAAGAAAGAACATGCAGGCATTAAATAGCTCTTTCACAAAATATGCTTGGATGAAATTATGGGTTTTTAATGACATTAAGTAATTATTTTTAATATATTAGCTGTGATAATTATGGTTATATTTTTTTAAGAAATAGACTTAAATGTTTTGATGTGCATGAAAATAATTCAGTGGGGCCGAGGTGGGGAGTACAAACAAAATATTCATGAACTGATCATTGTTAAAGCTGGGTGATATATGCATGAGGATTCATTATACTCTTCTCACTACTTTTGTGTATATTTGAAACTTTTTCATTTGAAAAATGCTTGGTTCAAGATCAGTAACAACAAGGCATTGAAGTCCTAATTCCTATGCTTAGCACTGTGCTAACAGAAGATATTGTAAGGTGTGCCTTCAGAAGCCTGTGTTTCTTTGTGTACGGCATGATAATTTAATAAATTTTAAAAAAAGTTACAATATGGTAAGTCAAACTCAAGTGCCATAACGTTTGCTTGTTCAAGGTATTCAGGAAGCAGCAAGGATGGACCAAGTCATTCTGCCTGGTAATAATCATGAGCCATCAAAGAGAAAGGGGGAACTTTGGGTGGGCCTTAAAGGGTGAGTGACATCTGCCATGTTGAGGGGGAGGGAATGCTTTTCAGGCCTAGTTATTTCCAGAACAAAAGCCCCAAGTCAGGCTTGTTCTGGGAAAAGCTTGACTATAACTCTGAATCTATGAGAAGGAGTAGGAGGTGAGATAGAGTATTGCAGGATCTTGAATATTATGCTAACGAGTATGCAGTTTAATCCATAAGCAGTGGCAACCATTGAAGATTTTCAAGCAAGTGATGTATTTTAGGAGTCCAGTTTTTACTATCAGAGAAGCAATCTTCTATTTAGATGAGCTTTTAGAGTGCAAAAAATAAAACCAAATCTGACTGACCCAAGCCTCACAGATTCTTGTAATCCAAAGAAAACAGGGCATCCTTTTTTCATTCATGCAATAAACCTTTATGGAGTCTTTGCAATTGACTAGGCATTGTGCTGGAAGCTGTAGGGAATGGATGACCAAGGCATAGTGCTTGGTACATAGTAGGAGTGAAATAAATATTTTAATAAATAAGTCAATGAATAATAGAATCACAGTGGCAACTAAGGGGGTTTTGGACTTGGGGTTTGTTAGTAGTGCATAGAACAAGAATGAGCTCAGTTTCACTTGAAAGCATCACTGGGTCATTCCTGACAGCTTGACTTCCCTCAACTTTACCTCTCTGTCCGAAAGGGTAGTTGAGTGGGAGGGAGGACATAGGGATAGCAGTGCTCAGATAGAAAACAAAGAAGGTTGTGTAGGGCAAGAAGTGCAAGAGCTACATAATTTCCTTCAGTGATTCAAATAATTGAAAATTGCAATAATAGCAAATACTGAACATTTTTTATGAGCCAGACACTGTTCTAAAGGGCTGCCAGGGTCTATGCTCTTAATTGGTATGCAATAGATCCCTTCTAATACTATCTTTATAACTTTTTTACAGAAATATATCATTGTAATGGGGGCATGATAGAGCATAAGGACTTGAGGAGGCCAGGGGAAAGAGATGAACAGTAACAGAAGAAATGATTTCACCCTTGTTTTACTATTTTTCAGTCTTTGAGGGATTGCAGTATGACTCCATTTCCTTGGTGCATTCATAAAATAGTTCATCTAGTGAAGACAATGAAGATTGTTGGAAATGCTACGCTACGTTTTCTGATATCCTGCACTGGGAAGTTATGATTTTTTAAGGTAATCTCTTTACCAAAAACTTATTAAGGGAGGAGGAGAAATAAGAGTTGATTATGACACATTAAAAATAACTAGCCAGACAAAAAACAAAAAGCTAGCACCAAATGATAAAATTGAAGCCATTTTCTACATTATATTAAACCATATTTACCATATAATGATAATATAATCTATGAGCTGTGTTGTTAGATTCATCCCTAATTACCTTATAGTTTCTGTTGTTACTGTGAAAATGTATCTTTTAAACCATGTTTGGTGATTATTGCTGGTAAGTAGGAACATGATTGATATTTTTATTTACTGACTTTATATGCTGCAGGCTTTCTGAATTCTATTTTTCTCTAATAATTTATAGATTGTCTTGGATTGTCTGTTAATTAAGTATATTGTGAATAATGACAGTTTCTTCCTTTCCAATATTATCTTTTAGCTTGTCTTACCGTGCTAGCTAGGATCTTCAGTACAAAGAGAAATACTAGCAGTGATTTCCTTGTCTTACTCCTGAATTTACCAGGCAATTCTACAAATGTTTCGCCCTTTTTAAATAGATTTGCTTTTTCAGGTTAAGGAAGTTTCTTTCTATTAGTTTGCTGAGAGTTTTTATTATGAATGAGTATAGAACTGTTTCTCCAAATACTTTATATCTACTGCCATGATCATATGGGCTTTTTCCTCCAGTAATATAACAGTGTGACTGTGTGATAAATTACAATAATCAATTTTCTAATGTATTTCCTGCATTTGGTTTCATCAGGCCTTACTGCTGCATATTTTGTTCCCTATTTTAATAACTTTTGCTTTAATCTTTATTTTTTCTTTACTTTCTCTTTGTTTGCTCTTTTTCTAATTTATTTATTTGGACCTTCAGCTCAGTAATTTTCAATCTTTTTTTCTAAAATAAGAATTTACGACTATAAATTTTCCACTATGTACCACTTTGGAAGAATTTCACAGGTTTTCGTATGTAATATTTTACCATTCAATTATTATTAGTTTTTAATTTCTCTCATTTCTTTTTTTGACTCATGAGTTATTTGGTTTTTTTAAATTTACAAACATATGAGTCTCTTTTTTAAAAATCATATTGTGAAATCATTAGTCTGGTTATAGTTAAACTTCATCTTATTTTCTATTTTAAAATGTTTAATGTTTTTTATCCTTCTGGTAACAAAATTATACACTGGTTCCTTATCCCAATATATTTTGGCAATGTAAAACTTTTCTTTCATTAAATATGTAGGAACAGTATGATTATGCTGTTCAGTGATGGAGTTATTGCTGATATTTATACTTGTGTTTTTAACTTTTTATTTTTATCTAATTACGCACTCAAAAATTGTGAGAATATTAGAAAGAACTCCCATATTCTCTTTACCCAGATGCACCAATTAACATTTTGACATGTTTGCTTTATCATTCTCTATTTCCGTTTCTCCTTTTCACTTCCCCTCATTCTCCTTTCCCGTTTTTCCTCCCCCCCAAGCTCTTCTCCTGTTTCCACCTCCCCAAATTCCTCTCTCCTTCTCCCTCTCCCTTTCCTTCTCTCCTTGAACTATTAGAGAGTAATTTGCAGACATCATGCGCCTTTACCTGTAAATACTTCAGTGTATATTTCCTCAGAACAATACCTGTCTCTTAACTTCAGTACATGTGTCAAAATAGAAATTTGACGTGATTCCAATTTTTTTATGTTTCGTAAACCTTTATTGTGAAGATTGTCCACTCATACTCACTGAAAAATGGATGAGTTTGGGAGAACATATATTTCAAATGGACAATGTAAGTTGTATTATAGTTCTCTTTTTCGAGATTTATTGAAATATATTTGGCATATAACATTGTTATAGTTTAAAGTGTACAATGTGATGATTTGCTATATGTATATATTACAAAATGATTAACAATTAGGTTAGTTAATATATCAATCATCTCACATAGTTACCACTTTTTTGTATGTGGTAAGAACTTTTAAGATCTACTCTCTTAGCAACTTTTAAGTATACAATACAGCTTTGTTAACTATAGTCACTATACTATAGTTATAGTATTAATTATACTATAACTATAGTTATGTAACTATATATAACCATAATATTAACTATAGTATAATGGACATCTGGTGATCTTTAGATCACCACAACTTACTCATGTTGTAACTGAAAGTTTATACCCTTTGACCACCTTCACCCACTTCCCCTACCCTCCCACTGCTGGAAACCACCAACCTATTCTGTTTCTGAGTTTGCCTTTTTTAGTTTCTGTGTATAAGTGAGATATACAGTATTTGTCTTTCTCTGTCTGACTTATTTCACTTAGAAAAATGCCCCCAAGGTTTATCTTTTATGTCAGAAATAGAAACTCCTTCTTTTTTATGGCTGAATAATATTCCCCGGTATGTGTGTGTGTGTGTGTGTGTGTGTGTGTGTGTGTGTGTGCATCACATTTTTTTTTGTTCATTCATCTGTCGATGGACACTTAGGTTGTTTTCATGGCTTGGTTACTATAAGTAATGATGCAGTGAATGTGGAGATGCAGATATCTCTTTGAGATAGTCTTTTCATTTCCTTTCAGATATATACCTAGAAATGGAATTTCTGGATCATATGATAGTCTTATTTTTAATTCTTTGAGGAAACTCCATTCTATTTTCCATAGTAGTTGTACCAATTTACATTCCCACCAACAGTGAACAAGGGTTCCCTTTTCTCCATATCCTCACCAGCATTTGTTATCTCTTGTTTTATTTGATAATAGCCATTCTAACAAGTGTGAGACTTCTCATTGTGGTTTTGATTTGCACTTTCCTGATGATTGGTGATGTTGAGCACCCTTTCATGCACTTGTTGGCCATTTGAATATCTTCTTTGGAAATATGGAAGTAACTTGCAGATTTCATGACACTTCAGCCCTAAACACTTCAGTGTGTAACTCTTAAGAACAAAGACATTAATATTATCACACTCAGAGAAATTTAACAATGATTCAATACTATTATCTAATATACTGCCCGTATCAAAGTTCCCCAGTTGTTCTAACAATATCCTTTATAGCTTTTTATTTGTTTTCATGCATGATCCAGTCAAGAATTATGCACTGTATGTAGCTGTCATGCCCCATTAGTCTTTTTAAAGCTAGGATAGCACCTTCCTATCCTTTTTTTAAAAACATTTTTCATAACATTAGCATTTCTGATGAGTCTAGGCAGTTGTCCTGCATATGTCCCACAATCTGAACTTGTCTGTTTTCCCATGATTAACTTAAGCATTTTTAGCAAGAACACTACATAAGTCATGCTGTGTCCTTGATATTGCATCACATCAGAAGGCACAAAATGCCACTTTGTCCCATTCATCATCAATGGTGGTAAGTCTGTTGACTTTTTTTGAAGGCTTTTTTTAAGAGCTGTTTTAGGTTCATGGCAAAATTGAGAGGAAAGTACAGAGATTTCTCAGAAACTCCCTGCCCCCACATATGCATAACCTTCTCTGTTATCAACATCCCCTACCAGAGTGGTATGCTTGTCACAATTGAACCTACATTGACATATCATAATCACTCAAAGTCCATAGTTACATTATTATTCATTCTTGTTGTTATACATTCTCTGGGTTTGGAGAAATGTATAGTGACATGTATTCATCATTATAGTGTCATACAGAGTATTTTCACTGCCTTGAAAATCCTCTGTGCTCCACCAATTAATCCCTCCCCTCTCAATTCCTGGAAACCACTGATCTTACTGTCTCATAGTTTTACCTTTTCCAGAATGTTCTGTAGTTGGAATCATACAGTATGTAGCCTTTTCAGATTGGGTTTTTTCCCTTAGTAATATGCATTTAACTTTCTTCTGTGTCTTTTCATGGCTTTGGTAGCTCATTTTTTTTTTAGCTCAAATTAACATTCCAGTGTCTGGATTTACCAGTTTATTTATCCATTCATCTACTGAATCACATCTTAGCTGCATCCATGTTTTGGCAATTATGAATAAAGCTGCTATAAAAATCCATGTACAAGTTTTGGTGTGGACATGGTTTTCAACTTTTGGGGTAAATATCAAGAAGCACGGTTGCTTATATTTGTATTTGTATTTTTATCTTTATAATTATATTTATTTATATTTATATACACACATATACATACATATACATTTGACACACCATTTGACAGTAAGTTGTCTCATGACTCCTAAATACTTCAGTATGTGTTTCCTAAAGACCTTACTCATTTTTCACAAATTATTCCAATAAGTGTCCTTTAGAGCAAAATAAAGAAAAAAAAGAGACTCTGGTCCAGGATCTAATCCAAAATCATATATTGCATTTAGCTGTCATATCTGTTTAGTTTCTTTAATCTGCAATAGTTTTTTAGACTTCAGCTAAGAAAAAGTATTTTTGAAGATAACAGTTATTTTATAGAATGTCCTTCAAGTTTAGTTTCTCTGATGTTTCCTCACGATTAACTTCAGCTTATGCACTTTTGTCAAGGAATACCACTGAAATGATCATTTTTCATTTTTAAAAGGAAAATGTGATATGATCAAATTCCTTTCGTGGTAATCTTACTTCCTGACATATTACCACATCATCTCAGTCCTGTGTCTTTCTTGGAAGTGCACCAGCTTTTCTTGCATTAATTCTGTATTAGTTTTCTATTACTGTCATAACAAATTTATCACAAACTTAGGAACTTAAAGCATCATATTTATTATCTTATAGTTATGTAGGTCAGAAACCTGGTATGTGTCTTATTGGATGAAAATCAAGGTGGTGGCAGGCTACATTCATTTCTGGAGGTTCCAGGCGAAATGCTGTGTCTTACTTATTTGGTTATTTGCAGAATTCACTTCCCTGGGAGTGTAGGTCTGAGATCCCTGTTTCCTTGTTAGCTGTCAACTGAAGGTTGTTCCCAGCTTCTAGAGGCCACCAGCATTCTTTGGCTTATTGTACCCTTCTTCAATCTTCAAAGCCAAGAACAGTAGGTCAAGTCCCTCTCACACTAAA